TGCAAGGTAGCGTTGTTGGTCGAAAGTAAAATGTGTCTCTCTGTGTGTGTATGTGTGTGCATGAAAGTGAGTTTGTATTTCTTTGCGGTTAAATGTTTTTTTATTACAACATCCTCTTAAAGTGTGCTGAACTCATTATTGAAAGTGAAAACGACAAAGAAGCAGAAAGCCAATGACGAGGGACACACTCGAGGCATCTGACAATTCCATTAGTCGTTGAATGCCACCGATGATTTAATGAAACAGAAGTTCCCACTTGCTTGGGCCTCCAGCGTTAATGGTGGAATACTCGTTATTAACAATTTCCCACACAAAATTTAAAAATATATGCACTCAGGCTTGGGTTTTATTGCCTCCCAAGATATGCCTACTTTTATGATGATGTTCATATTTACAACTTACAGAGTGTTCTCCTATTAAAATCCCCCCTCCACCGCCCTAATTCACATTTCGAAATGGTTTATTAAATTAAATGTTTAAAAACAAAATAAAAATATTCCGCTCTTAATTAAAAAGGAGTATTAAGCGTGATTACAGCGATTAGCACCAGTCACCGCCTGTGCCGACACCCCACCCAGTCAAAGCTGTATTTGATAGTGTTCATCGCTGCTGTCTGTCTGTCTGCCGCTGTGCTCTTTCATGATGATTATTAATTAAATTGAATCCATTTCTCAAGCGATTATGTCATTAATTTGGCATGGAAGCTCCTCATTTTCCAGTCACCAGAAAGATTGTGCAACTCAAAATGCCTACCAACAATGAATGCAATAAAATGTGAAGTTTGGCTATGCTCAGTAAACGTTCAGCGAGTTTGAAAAATGACAATACTAAATGCCTAAAAACAATGACAAAGCACAACTTAGTCTTCAGCTGCGTTCACCAAAGAAATTTTCCATCAAAAGTATTTTGTGGCAATTCCTATAGGGGGATTGCCATGTGTTGGTAGTAAAATGATGTCGTCGTAAAGAACATTTTTATTGTGTATAGGCTTAAAATTTTCAAAAATAGATTGCCAACCTGCAATTTCTTAAAAATCCTTGATATAATAAAGTCAAACGCCATAATTGTTACATTTTTTTAAATTTTATTGAATGAAAGCAAAATATGTCGGAAATAGCATCAAATTTTAGAATAAGTTTAGATTTGATCGAATTGGGCACGAATTATGCCTTCAAACGGCCAATGAAACCGTCTCACGCTGCCCGAATGTTGCTCTGCGGTATTTTGGCCCATTTCCGGCGAAGCGCTTGCTTGAGGTGATCGACACTTTGGTATTTTTTAGTGCCAACCTTGCTTTCCAAAATACTCCAGACACAATAGTCCAACGGATTGGTATCCGGAGATTTTAGTGGCCATTGTGCGCTGGAAATTAAGCGAGGATCCTCATTATGTTGGGTGGCGCGTGCTGAGTGTCCTGAGTCCTATTTGAATGTCCAAGGTCTGCTGCCAAAATGATTGCGTGCTCAAGGCTTTAATATACCCTCCAGAATATTTTCGCGATAATATTCGCCATTTATTCTGTTGCCACATTCGAGTAATACGAGCGGAGAGCGACCATCGGCTGATATGGGGGCCCACACCATCACCATAGCCGGCGCTTGAGTTCGGGTGGCCAACCGAAGGTGCGCATTTTCAGCTGACCTCTTTGACAAGTAAACACGATCATTTTGTTTGTTTACCAACTGCTGGACAAGGAATGTTTCACATCGGAGAAAACCAAATTCGGCAGTTCACCACTTTCGGGCAAGCGAAGCAACTCTTTAGCTATTTTGAGTCTATTTTCTTTCTGTTGCGGTGTAAGTTCTTGCACTTTTTGGAATTTCAATGGCTTTACCGCGAGCTCATTTTTCAATGTTTTCCAAATGGAATATCGCGATATGTTCAACTCACGAGCCATTTTTCGGCCACTGCGGGGTTCGATCAAGTCGCTTCTTTACTTTTCGAGCCATTTTTGCTGATGTTGCTGTTTCCTTCCGTCCACTCCTTGACGTCGGGCTCCGCTACCAATATCACGGTAACGTGGTACGAGACACAAAAGATTTATTCACATTTAAATGCTGGAGTGCGTAACGATAGCCACTTGTGGTTTTCCAGCCAAATATAAAGAAATCACACTATCTCGATTGATTTCCATTACGTATAACATATTTTCTGGAAAATTCCCACCAAAATGCTTTTGAACACTTGTAAGGGAGCCATATCCAAATCTGAACCGATTTCAATATAATTGGACAAATTAAATTCCATTGATATTGGAGATACATAACGTGTTTGGCGAATTTATTTTCACACTAAAATTCGTCACTAATTCCAAATTTCATTGGAATCGGACATACATATCGTGGTTGGTGCATCAAATATGTAAAATTGACCGAAAATATATATGGGAGCTACACCCAAATCTGAACCGATTTCAATTAAATTTGGCAGCTTTATTTTTGTACCAAATTCCGTTACAAACTCCAAATTTGAAGACTACTTCTGTAACCGATCAATAGATATGTGCATAAAAATTCTATTTTTTTTTTGAGGTACCCCCGATTCTGATGCTATATCTCCAGTTCCGGGTGGAATTTCAAAAATGTATATAGCCTAGGTTACTTTCAGACGATGCTTTAGCATATATGGAAATTTTCAGGAAAATCTGGTTAGCGGGTTTTGAGTCTAAAAATTACATACAAACAATCAAACGTACAAACATATTCCCTTTTTATAGACTCGATTGCCTTGAGTCAGATATTTTTAAATAAAATTGTTGACCAAGTCTATTACCCCAATGTTTGCGTATAATAAAGGATCCCTCATTCTATTTTTTGAATTTTCAAACCTACGTTTTTATTTTTTTTATTCATTTTATTTATCCATGTTAAATTTTGCAAGTCCATGCCAATTGACCTTAAATTGAGCTAGAGGGCTAAACGGAATTCAATATTCAATTAAAAATATATTCTATTCTATATTATCCGGTCGCCACCATTATAGGCCTTTGTGTCTATTCTTAACTGCAAAAATTCATGTCGACAGACTGAAATTAAGACCTGTTGATTGACCGCAAACTGAGGAAAACTTTTTTTTGGGTCCACTGCAACCCTGAAATGAAATGCTTCTATTCTAAGTGCAATCCAACCCCAACGATGGGGATGGGCGAGGTGTTTTCTCAAAACACAAAAATTAGATTTTTCTAACTGTTCAAACAAATTCGTGGGGCTGAGCCTCATATTACAACATATTCTACATTTTTTTAATCTGTGACTCTATCCACTCTCGTCAATATTCTAAAATAACGTTTCATATTGACCGTAGCGAATTATTGTCGGAAGGGGTAGAGTCTCGACAAATATACCCTCAGTAGGTCCTGCCCAGCCGAATATTTTCGTTTGTCTTAAGGATTTTCTTTAAGCTAAATAATAAATTTCGCCAAATACAGATCCCTACTTAGACACCGCGGATATTCGGGTTGGTTGGTCGGCTTCAGGGCTTCAGATATGATTTTTGAACTTGGAGTTTTCGTAATGCATCCATTTTTAATCGCCGGTAAAAATCTGATGCATACATGAATACAATCCTGCGCGGAACACCTATCTAGACGCATTATTGTGGCGATTAAAAAAATGCATTTTATGTACCATGACCGATTCATTTTTTATTCTCCATATCAAATCTGTTTCACACTTCCTATGCGAACCAATATTAATTTGTTTAACCAATATGTGTGTATACATATTTCCCATTAAACTTTTGCCTCCATTCAATATTTGTACTTTGGACTGTCAAAGTCCATCTCGTAGGTATGATTTCAATTAGTCATTTGGTGGTAAAGGTATAGAGATTGGCTTTCCCGGTAAAAGACATCGTAATGGATGGACTTTTTCAATTACAATAGATATGTATGAATGTATGTTTGTATGTATGAATGTATCTGCTGCTCTCCCTTGCCCAAACTTAGCTGTTGTATTTTTGGGCAATTTTCGGCTGTTGTTGGTCTGTTGTCTAATTTCTTCGTTGGTAGGTTTTGTCTTAGGACTGTATTTGTTATTCGGCCAAATAATGAATATGTTACTTTTGTTTTCGCTAATCATTCGCATTATTTGTTCCTCGTAAACGGTTGTGCGGTTGCCTTTTATTGTTGCATTGTTCAAACATTGTTTTTTTTTTTTTTTTTGCTGTTGCCTTTGTTTTGTGAGAGATGCAAAGACTTGGAGTTTCCAATGACTGGAGTAAAATGGCTTGGAGTCGAATAGTTGTCATTTCGTTGGTGTTTGGCCCAGCCACGCAGTCACAGCGGATGGAAGTGGTGATGGAGAACGGCAGTGGGATACCCTTTGTGAGCACAAGAAAAAAAAAACGTACATATTTACTGAATCACGCAACCATCTGCGTACCGACCTATCTGTCGTTTTAGTTTCAGTTTTGGCCTTTGTTTTTTTTTTTTTTGTATTTTTTTTATTATTTTTGTTGTTGTTCGTTTGCAGTGAAAGTTTTGTTTTTTATGATTTTTTCCATTATTTTGACAATAACCGAACGACAAAAAAAAGGTTCAAACTTCAAAAATATGTTATCATTGCACAATGCAATAAAATGCATTCACCCACAAATACATCCACACACATACACAGATACACTCATGATGGAAGCAAAATAATAATAAAAACAACATCAGAAATGTGAATGAATGCGCGAATTGCCATCCGGAACATTGACCTTATTTCACCAGCACCGTGGTGGTCCATGGCGCGCAAAATTGAAGCCAAAATTGATTTGAATTTCAAAATCAAATACTGACCGCATGCACAGACATACACACACACAGTCTCAAACTCGCCGTTATGTGTTTGTTGAACTCCTTAGCGCATCGATGACTTCCGGATGCATGCTTTAACTAATAGACACGTTTTGTGTTTTTTTTTTTTTTTTTTTTGGTTTTCTTTTATTTTTTGTTTTGTTTTAATCATCTAACATCTTTCCTTCTCCTTCTCCTTTCGTTTTGTTTTTTTTTACAGCCAAAGTTATTTACGTTGCAAGGCAAGTGGCAGTAAGGAAGTCCATCATCGATATCTCTTCCCAAAAACAACAACAACAACTACCACTTGAACGGAGGCAGCACTGACATCAAAACGAAAAATAAAACGAAACGCGACGCAACGCAACGTCCAGAGTGATGCGATGAGCGGACTTTGTTAACACAGGTTTTTCATGTTCACGTAATAACAACATTTAGCCGAAATAACACAAGGTGTGTAACGTGCAACGGCAACAGCAACAGCAGCGGCAGGCGAAGCATCTTGCTAACCAATTATTATTATTGCCAGCAATTGCCAATAGCTACCACCAACAGGCAGCAACAGGCCAAGTTGCAAAGACCAATAACCGCAGTCAGACGAGTTGTGTGCATCACACATCACATCACATCACCGCATCGGCAGCGGAGCAGAGCACAACACGAGCTGCAGAAGGCTAACAATTGGAGCAAGTGCTTCGATTCAGACCACCACGCGAAACGCTAAACCATCCCCCTGACAGACGCTGGCAGTTCCTCAAAATAGCTAAGCACGACATCATTGCCCATACCGGCACCAACAGCAGCAACATACCGCCAGCAATTGCAGCAACTCGAGATATCCGCGGCAGGTACATAATCATCGGATCATAGCGCTGCTGCACAGGAAAAGAGGCAGACGCCACTTCGCTCCAAACAACATTCCATAACATCCGAAAAGGAGTTCAATGAACGCGGCTCCCTAAGCCAGCAGCAGGCGAGCGGAAGCAACTCTATTTCCTTCCCGAACGAACCAGTTTCCAGCAAAAAAGCTTCCTTCCGTCATTTCGACATTTGTCCACTTCCCCTTGTGCTGCCATTGTGCATTGCCCCGGTCCTCACCTCCTACATCCAACCAACAGTATCCATTGTCAAGGTCATTCTTGTGAAGAGCTCGATGTAAAATGAAAGCAACCACACAATGCAGTATTTGGTCTCTCATTGTCTTATCAGCAGTGTCGGCTACAGCTCAGGTGATTGAAGGTAACGCACACTTCTTGCACACGCCATCGCTGGCCCCAGCATTACAGTTGACGGCTACGCCCACAACCCCCTTCCAAGTCTCCTCGTCGACGCAGCCTTACGCTACCTCTCCAAATCAGCCACCATGGCTAGATAACAAACATTTGCCTCCAAGGGATCAAAAGAATACAGCGCGCAACCTCTACGCCCCCTATCAAAGCTTTTCCAAAGCAGATGTTGCCAATTTTCCCAACGTGGTTATAAGGCCTGATGGCTCAGCGGCGCAGACCTTCAGTGCGTATCGCAAAGGACGTTCGGGGGCAGCGAATCTCCATCAGGCAAACAGACGTTCCGACAATGCTGAAGTAGAGATAATCAACGCCCCGGCAGTGGAACTTCCCTCCAGTCCTTTGATAACCATACCCAAGAACGTCGTTCCGGCCACGCTGGCCACCAATTTCACCAGGCAAGGACGTAAACGAAATTACCTTTATATTCCTCTGCAGCAAGACCCCTCCCAGAACTATCTCTTGCAGCTCAAACCGAAGGGTAATACATCGTTGAGTGATTTGGGACCACCAACGAGTGATGTGCTGCCGGCCGTACCAGAAATCGGAGAAGAGGTGACACCATCGGCGGACAGAACAGAACGCAGCGATAGTTTTCCAGTCAGCACACCTACCTCAACGGATCGGTACGACCGAGGCGAAGAGACGAGCAGCCGCCGGGTGGGTTTCCAATTCCCCAGCTACAGTCTGAGCCCCTCGAGTCCATTCCAACCGCAGGGCTACCGAGAAGACAACCCCGTATTCGGCGACACGTCTGGCTTTGAAGAGGTTCCGTTGCAAGACAAGCGTCTGACTCGCCAATTGGTCTTCGAGCCGGATGTTTCTCCGACCTCATATTCGTATGACTTTTCCGGCATAGGAGCTAGCACCATTCCACACACTTTGAACTCTGCCGTGGCAGCTGGAAAACAATATCGTGAAGAGGTAACGAAATTTGGTGACATCAATGGGCCCATTACTGCTCTACCACAGAGACCACAGAGAGGTCTGTTCTTTGGAGATACTGAGTTTCGCACCGGCTCCCTCGTGAGGCCTTTTACTCCGCAGAAAACATTCAATGACTACATTGGTGCCGTGGATCCGTCTAGTTCTCGCAAAAGTCGTTATTATCCTTTCAAGTCATCGCGTAGCCCACGAGTGGTCTTCCCCACCAACGATAATGTGGGCGCAACAGGGCCCAGTTCCACCGGCACTGGAGTCTATTTCAACGATAACGTGGTGTTCCGTGATCAAAATTTCGGTCTCAACGAATTGGCGTCCGTTCAAGATGTTCGCAACGAGTTTAGTTTACAGGATCTGGACAGCACCTCGGAGAGCAGCAGTCTGAACGGAGCTCAGTCGGCGAGTACCTTTAAGGAAAAAGGTAAGCCCAGTGTAGCCTGTAGTAGCAACTAATCACAAAGCTTTTGCCCTCCCATAACAATAACCACGAGCATGACAATGCGCAAGGAGGCAATTCCATAGAGGCCAGTGGCTGGTTTGCACTTCACCATCGACCTGCTATGGAATTGCCTCCGCTGTAAGTAGTTCAAGGTCCATAGCACCGCTCAGCAACACTGGTATATGCTTCCTCTCTCCTTCCTCTCTCTCTTTCTCACATTCAGTTGACATCACAAGCGAACTGGAGTGCCAGCATCGCGGTGGAACCTGTGAGTTTTTCGTAGGTTGCTGGATGACTGGCGGCCTGCTGCAGGGCACTTGCCACGGCTTGTTGCGCGGCTGCTGTCACCGCACAGCAAAGTCAGCCAACTTGCGCACCTCCGAATACGTGGGCAACACAATCGATTTGACTGATCTTCCGCAAAAGACATATGGACCCGTGAAAAATGATCCCAGTGAGTGTTAGAAAGAAAAGAAAACTGCACGATCGCCCGGCCCGGCAAAGCAACGTTGGTTAAAGGTCCCCTGTAGCGAAGCACTTGCTTAACTTATGACTCCCCGAACACTCCCCCACCCAGCAACATGTCCACCACCCAGGTCTACTAGGATCAAGGGGGGAATGCACGGTTCTTTACATTGGTGGTGCTAAGGGTTTTGCATGCTACCCTCCTTTGTATGGGGCAAACTGCTAACGACTGCACTCAAGTTTAAATGTTGAGCTATACGTATACCTAAAAATATATATTCGGCTGCATGATCTGACCCGCATGAATAATTCTATCGTCTTTAGTACTGATTGACCTCTAATTGACCCTGTAGTCTTTATAACTGGTAGAGTAGCTGTCGCAAATAGTCTGCTTCGTAGAACACCTTTATGATGGGGGTTGGGTAGGGTTCGCAACTCTGGTTATGGGGATGTTTGTGGTTTTTGTTGTTGTTATGCATGGATAGTCGTCCTCAGAGATTGAAATTCGAATGAAGTTCCAAGCAACAGAGACATCTTGTAGCGCGGAATGTAACTAAAGAAACCAACGCTAACCAAGACAAGCATTGTTCCTGCGGAAGATCAGGCGCTCAAATCGTATTTTACCCACATCCTAATACGAGTGTGTGTGTGTGTGTATGTGTCTTAGCTCTTACATGTATTTAGCTTGGCTTTGCATTAAATGTATCCGCTTTATGTTGCACTTAAATCTGTTGGCTTAACATTTTAGAAAATTATTGGTATTCTTTATGGAAATTATTTGGTGTTTTGTGAAAAATGTTGGGGTAATTAAGAGAACAACAATAGCAACAACAATTTTTGTTTTTGTAACATATCTAGGTTGTGGCATTTCATTGGCAAAGCAGACGGCCCAGAGACGCATTGTCGGTGGTGACGATGCCGGTTTTGGTTCCTTCCCCTGGCAAGCCTACATTCGCATTGGATCATCAAGGTAAGTGGCAGCGATTTTTCAATTTAAATAGAATTGAGTTTAATTTGTTTTTTGATTTAGATGTGGTGGATCTTTGATATCTCGACGACACGTGGTAACAGCCGGCCATTGTGTGGCAAGGGCCACACCGCGACAGGTCCACGTAACATTGGGTGATTATGTCATCAATTCAGCCGTGGAACCTCTGCCAGCCTATACCTTTGGAGTGCGGCGCATCGATGTACATCCCTACTTCAAATTTACACCTCAGGCGGATCGTTTCGATGTCTCAGTGCTGACGCTGGAGAGGACTGTGCATTTTATGCCTCACATAGGTAAGGAAAAAGTTTTGGGTAATAGTGTAAAATGTCAGTCGGTTTGCCGACTGTTATACACCCTCAAAATTTGGTACAACCTCAGGTTTCTGATATTGCAATGTGCAAATTTAGTTTTTAAAAATGTTATGTCCTTAGGACAAAAAGAGATTTACGAAGTTAAAAAAATTTAAATCTGGTTCACTATCTATAGAGTTACTATTATTCAAAATTTTGAATTTTTGTATAGGAGGTACCGGAATGACTGGATTAAAATCGTACATTTCCACACCTGGAGTAGGACTAATAGAAATATTACCTTGTGCCAAGTGCGGACGGAAAGTACACCCTTCTCTAAATGCATTTTTGGCAAATGCCAAAATTTTTTGAAGGAGTTACTGGAAGGAGTGAATCAGCTCCACTGTCGATCAAGTGTTAGTAGAAACTATTATTATAATATTATTTGATCACAAAAACAAGCAACTCTGTGAAACCGATTTGCTTTGATCTGCATTTGCTTAATCGAATAGTGGTGAGTTTGTGTCTCTAGTAGTGTCTCTCTGGCTTTTCCTTTCACTGTGGATCCCAGATCATAAAGCTCATATCGAAAGATAAATAAACAAATAATTTGACAAAGTTTTTTGATAAGTATCTTTGATCTCTGTAGTCTAGATATCCTCAAGGACTAGGGAAAATCGTTGCCTCAGGAGGAATTTGACCTTTATTCTCTATTCACTTTGCTTAGATTAAGTAATGGCAGGTGACCTCAATATTTGTTACAACACACAAAAAAAATAGTTTAAGGGCCAATGAAATGCTCTCGACTGCCAACTGAAAATGAATTGATCAAAACAAAGTGGCAGCCTGCTCACCAGCTACGCTTGCCAAATAAGACACTTGAAATGCATGTTTGAACACGTGCCAGACACATCAGAAGAGTAATGGACATAATGAGCTATGAATGACATATCTATTTATTTATATTTATCAAATTGAAAAGCTTTACAACATTTCAGTAGAGCGCAAGGGGTTTCCGGCTTGGCATGTCAATTTATTTTTCAGAAAAAAAAAAAACTAATTAATTAAATAATAATTTTATGTATTTCTGCCCTTCTTCACAGCTCCCATCTGTTTACCCGAAAAGAATGAAGATTTCCTTGGCAAATTTGGTTGGGCAGCGGGCTGGGGCGCTTTGAATCCTGGTTCTCGATTGAGGCCCAAGACATTGCAGGCAGTCGATGTACCCGTCATTGAAAACCGGTTTGTAAAATGAAATAACTCAGAAAATAGAGCAATTTTAATTAACCTCTACCGTTTGGCATTTCAGAATCTGCGAGAGATGGCATCGTCAAAATGGCATTAACGTTGTGATATACCCGGAAATGATGTGTGCCGGTTACAGAAATGGTGGCAAAGATTCATGTCAAGGAGACTCCGGCGGGCCCCTGATGCACGAAAAGAACGGACGTTGGCACTTGATTGGTAGGTTCTTGTTTCGAAATGTCTTCCCAACAAAAATTAACACATTTCATTCCCGATTCGTAGGTGTGGTCTCAGCGGGTTATTCGTGTGCCTCACGCGGCCAACCTGGCATCTATCATCGCGTGGCCTATACTGTCGATTGGATTTCCTACGTTGTCGGTCTGACGGCTAACATTTAAATGCTGCTCTCCCCATCCATCCATCCAATTGCACTGTTCATTCATTTTCTTCTGTTGTAAATATACTGACTATTGCTGCTACTAATTCGCATGGAATCCATGAACTGTAGGTGGAACTGGACCTACACAACACAACTGTATTGCTTTTAACGCCTAACGTCCTACCTTAGGCTGATATTAATAATAGGTCTCTCATTAATATATAAGATACTTAAGCTCAAAATGCTAAGCTATCATCACTCTTCCCCTCTCCCCTTTCACACTCTAGCATTAATTGTAAGAACATCCATTTAAATTTATTTATTAACATATTTTATAAATATTTTTTAATGTTACATTCCAAGCACATTGGTCTGTTTTGTAAGCGATACAAATCGAAATGCATATTAGTTATAGATTGTTAAAAACAAACATCATATTTATTCAAATGAAACCACAAACAAATAATTTATTTTATTATTTAAAAAAAAAAACAACAAAAAATGTAAATAAAATAAATTGAAAATATTTTTTTAAAGATTGATTGATTTTGATTTACTTTCAAAAAATATCTGAATTTTAGGTAAAATACATTAAAATCAAGGACTTTGCATCTTTGCAGGAAATAGCTTCTTTATGTTATGCAACTTGTTTTTTATGTTGCCGTTGCTATGAAGATCACCTAAAAAAATTATTACACGTTCTTCTCCCTCTAATCGATCAAGATGTTTCTTCCTAAAATATTTTTAGATCTTATAAACTCTAACAACTGGGCTCGTTAATTTATGCTTAACAATGCAAGTTTTCTTATATTAATTGGAATGCCATTAAGAGGAAAACAAGTAAAAAAGCTGTAAGTTCGGTCGGGCCGAACTTTGAATACCCTCCACCATTTGGAAAAACTTTGGGACTTTCAAAACAAAAAAAAATAATAATAATAATAAAAACAATAATAAACCCGTTAAAAATTAAAAATCTTAAATCTTAAAATCTTAAAAATACCGAATGTAGCCTTTATATTACGGTCCATACGACGACTTTATTACAATATTTAAATACGAATATTGAAAAAAAAAATTCGGTAAATAATTTAGCTATAATCATCAAAATACCGAATATAGGGAGAGACCATTATAGTTGCTATACCAAAACTCGGACCCGCACAGACAATTTTCTGCCTTAGGATTTACTATCCATTACGAACTTCAAATACCAAATTTGAAAAAATTCCAGTGAATAATGTCGCTAAAATTATCAAAATACCGATTATCGGGAGGTACCGTTATATGGCGGCTATACGAAGACGTGGACTTGCACAGACAATTATCTGTCTTAGGATGTACCATTTCCATTAAGAACTTCAAATACAAAATTTGAAACAATTCCGGTGAATAATGTCGCTAAAATTATCAAAATTCCGAATATCGGGAGGTACCGGTATATGGGGGCTATACGAAGACGTGGACTTGCACAGACAATTATCTGTCTTAGGATGTACCATCCATTACGAACTTCAAATAACAAATTTGAAAAAAATTCCGGTGAATAATGTCGCTAAACTCATCAAAATACTAATATCGGGAGGTACCGATATAGGGGGGGCTATAAGAAGACGTGTACATGCACTGATAATTTTCTGTCATAGGCTGTAGTATCCATTACCAACTTCAAATTTCAAATTTTGAAACAATTCCTGTGAATAATGTGGCTAAAATCATCAAAATACCGAATATCGGGAGGTAACGTTTTATGGGGGCTATACCAAAACGTTGACCTATATGGCCCATTTTCAATACCAAAAGTCCTGCATACATAATATACATTTGAGTACAATTTTATCAACCTACTTCATTTGTTCGGAAGCTACAGTGATTTCCACAGACGGACGGACATCGCTAAATCGACATAGAATGCTGATCAAGAATATAATGTATAATATAAATAAAAAATAAAATGCATATTTCTAGGTGTTACAAACGGAATGACAAACCTAATATGCCCTCCATACTATGGTGGAGGGTATAAAAACAAAGAAATATGAGCACATTTAATCCCCAAACAGGTACATAATTGAGGGATGGAAAATTGAGATGGTGGTATAATAATTTAAGCATTAACGCATCATTTTTTTAAAATGAAACAGACAGAATTTTATAACCGAATCAGCGTGAAGAAATAGACATGTCATTAATTAAGACCAGAACTATAAAAATGACCTCCATCACTCACATAGATATTTTTTGATACACTTGTATGATCACATACATACATCCATTTATTCAAAGAGAACCCTTTCAAATCTACCCTCGTTGCTGTGGAAAATCTACACAAGATGCATTAATAAAATGATTTTGTTCTTAGCTATCAACAGGAGATCTTTACATTGCTTGTCTACTTAGAACCTGTTGCTCGTGTCGTACTGGGAGCCATTCTTGATGCATGCAACATAGTCGCCGCACTGTGGCTGATGGCTACGAGCCGATACTTTTACTCTTCCAACACCAGTTTTATTTGGTCAGTCTACGTGTAAGGTCGTTTCGTTTCGTTTCGTTGGAAAATAGAAGAACAACAACCCAAAACTTCTAAGAATCACAAAAAGAAATCAAAATTCAAAAATTCTCAAAAAAAGTGGAATCGACAAAATAATGATTTAATAAATCATATTCAAAGCGGTATAAAATAAGTCTTTTTTAAATATTTTGAAAATCATTTTAGCGAATGAAAGTGTTCTAAATCTAAATGTGTGTCATTAAGAAAACCAACTGTCCGCATTAGTTTTCTCCGCGGCTTTGGCCATGAAAATTTGTCTCAAGGTTGATATTCTAGTCGAATGCAAACTCACTCCCTCGCTTTATTGGCGCATGCCATTGATTTCCGGTCACTGAAGTTGATGGACATGTATATGTGTGTGTGTTTTTTTTGTGTATATGAGCCACCCTGCCCCATCCCCCACTCATGGCTTCTCAAAGAATTACAATAAAACAAGACAGCACAAGAGCAAATGAAAACGATGTTGTTGTGAACTAGATCAGATTCAGTGTCATTGTAAAAATACTAAAGAAATTCTAGTCAATGGTGTCATTACCAATGCGCCACAGTACACGGACACCAGCAACAAAGTAAACTAGCAGCAGTTGAACACAGGAAAATAAACAAATCTTTCAAATGAAAATTTTGTGAAAAAATATTGGTTGAATACATTTATGTTTATAAAACAAAAGACTTAAGACACAAGCAGATTTCAAAAGAGGCTATATTAAGTTTGTCATTCCCTTTGTAACACCCCGAAATATACATTTTAGAGCCCACAAAGTATATGTATTCTTGATCAGCATAAAATTCTATGTCGATTTAGCGATGTCCGTTCGCCCGGCAGTCTGTGGAAATCACTCTAACTTCCGAACGAAATGAAGTAGGATGATAAAATTTTACTCAAATGCGTATTATGTCTGCAGGACTTTTGGTATTGAGTTTAGGTCCCATGTAGGTTCACCTTTTGCCTCCATCCCGATATTCGGTATTTTGATGATTTTAGCGACATTATTCACAGAAATTGTTTCAAATTTGGTACTTGAAGTTCGTAATCGATACTACAGCCTATGACAAAAAATTGTCTGTGCAGGTCCACGTCTTCGTATAGCCTCCATATAACGGTACCCTCCGATATTCGGTATTTTGATGATTTTAGCGACATTATTCACCGAAATTGTTTCAAATTTGGTATTTGAAGTTCGTAGTGGATAATACAGCCTATGACAGAAAATTGCCTGTGCAGGTTCACGTTTTGGTACATCCCCCATATGATGGTACCTCGTGATATTCGGTATTTCAATTATTTTAGCAACATTATTCACCGCCGTTTTTATCATGTTTCGCATTTGAATATTGTAATGGCTTATGAAAAAAGTAGCCTTTACAGGTCCATTGGCTTCGTTTTAGCCTTTTCGAATTACAAAATAAATAAATCGAACAAACGAATTACAAATGCGAAGTAACTCGAATTCGAAATTAAACAATTATAATATAATTTGACTTGTTACGAATGAAACTCTTGAAATAATTTGAATAAAAAATCAACTCCTCGGAATTGAAAAGTTAAGAATCACAACCAAAATATTTCGAATTATATGACCACCTGCCACATAGTTTGTGTCTTAAGTCTTTTGTTTTCTACGATGTCTCATAAAAATAGAAGATCAAATTTAGAGTAAATCTTTTCGATTTAACTTCAGTAAAATTCTCATGGAAATGAAGCAAAAACGTCGATAATATTCACCTAAAATGTACCTATGGAACTATCTAACACTCATATCGGGAGTTCTCTATATAGTAACCCTCAAAGTTAGCTTAACTGCAGCACAAGCAAGTAAGTGGAATGTTAGCAACCTATCTGAGCTAAAGTAATTCAAGTTGATTCTTATTACAGGTATTTTAAACGCCATTCTGGGTGTACCGACGGAATGTCTCCATCAAGGTGGAGTATGGCCCTGCAAGCTCTCCTTTTCCTGTTGGCTACAGGGCGGCAAACATGCTAGAGGTTGTGGCAACAACAAATGGTTTTTCTCATGTTGTATAGCGGCCGATGGCGATATCTCTCCAGCGGCTAATTTGGTTGAAACCGCTTTGGTGGAATATAACAAAAAAGTGACAAATCTTCCAAAACGGGTTTTTCTTCGCCGACGTGATGATAACGACATTGCCTCTAAGGTCGGTGATTTGGAATATTACGATTTTCTTAAATTGAAACTGTTTTGTTTTTATAGCCCGAATGTGGTATACCCCATACCTTCCAAAACACCTTACAAAAGCGCATTATAGGTGGCAGACCGGCACAATTTGCAGAATATCCTTGGCAGGCTCACATACGCATTGCCGAATACCAATGTGGTGGAGTATTGGTATCAAAGAACATGGTGGCCACTGCAGCCCATTGTGTCCAGCAGGCTCGATTACAGGATATATCGGTTTATTTGGGCGAATTGGATACTCAAAATTTGGGTCATGCCCAAGAGCCTCTGCCTGCAGAGAAACACAATGTCATACAAAAGTTAATACATCCACTGTTTGAGTTTCGTATGACTCAACCGGATCGTTATGATTTAGCTTTACTTAAATTGGCCAAACCAACGGGATTTAGGTAAGTTTTGTAAACCACAGACAGCGGTAATGAAATAATATTGGAAAATATAAATTTTTCCATAAAATAAATTGTGACATTGATTTATAGGAAAGAAAATAACCCTCTGCGGATTTTGATAGTCTTTTTTAATTCTCAAAAATGTTTTGCATTTTTAGTGAGCATATATTGCCGATTTGCTTGCCAGTCTATCCGATACGTCTGGCAGGGCGTAAAGCAATAGTGGCTGGTTGGGGAAAAACAGAGGCGAGTTTGGGTCAAGCAGGAACCAATATGCTGCAAGTAGCCACCGTGCCCATTATAAGTACATTTTTTAAGATAAAACACCAAAATGCCAAAATATAAATGTTGTTTTTTCGTCTTCTTTGTGCAGCTTCTTTGGAATGTCTTCGTTGGCATGAAAGCAAACAAATCAAAGTGGAACTCTTCAATGAAATGTTTTGTGCCGGGCATTCAGATGGCCATCAAGATGCTTGTCTTGGTAAGTTATTCAAAGCATACTTTACGGCGGTCGAATAAAACATATTGTTTTCAAGGTGATTCTGGTGGACCGCTAATTGTCAAAGAGCGAGGTAAAGTCTGTTATATTCATTCACTAGGAAGCTAAGGAAAGTTGACATTTTCTATTTCCAAATCATCCATCAGGTCGTTTCTTTCTGGTCGGCATCACCAGTGCTGGATTTGGATGTGGCGTCGACCATCAACCTGGAATTTATCACAATGTACAGAAGACATCGAAATGGATTCAAGACGTTCTGATGCGACACGCTGTCTAGATGTGAACGAATAATTTCGCAATGGATTCTGTTTTTATTAGTTTAGAACTAGTTAATTTGTGTGTAAACTTGAATATTTTAGACTTTTAGTAATCAGGGTATTTGTTGTTCCAAAAAGAAAATCTATAATAAAAGCTTATTTTTTAAATTTTCCTTTCACGTGTCTTTGGATTTAATTCGATTTTTGTTTTTCTTATCAAAAATATGTGTGTACTGGGCACCTACATTTCGGAGAGTATGAGGTAAATGACATCGTTAATCGAACTATGGAATGAAATTCGGATTTCGTTTCTTGTGGGCACTCACGATTTTCATACCTTCCACCATAAGATGGGGGTGATTTTAACTATAGGGTGAGATGAAAAAACTGCAACCAACTTCAGACTGCTGACATTTCTAAGCCACTCGTCCAAAAGCTGTGTAAAGGAAGTGGACGGAAGAAAACAGCAACATCAGCAGAAATGGTTCGAAAAGTAAAGAAGCGACTTGATCGAAACCCCGCGTCGCAGTGGACGAAAAATGGCTCATGAGCTGAACATATCACAATATTCCATTCGGCAAATATGGAAAAATGAGCTCGAGGTAAAGCCAATGAAATTCCAAAAAAAATCCAAGAACTTACACCGCAACAGAAAGAAAATAGACTCAAAAGAGCTAAAGAGTTACGTCGCTTGACCGAAATAGGTGAACTGTCGAGTTTGGTTTTCTCCGATGAGAAAACATTCGTTGCCCAGCAGTTTGTAAACAAACAAAATGATCGTGTTTACATGCCAAAGAGGTCAGCTGAAAATGTGCACCTTTGGTTATCCACCAGAACTCAAGCGACGGCCATGGTGATGGCGTGGGCCGGCATAACAGCCGATGAGCGACCATCACCCCTCATATTAATCGACCGTGGCATCAGAATAAATGCCGAATATTATGGCGAAAGTATTCTGGAGGGTGTATTAAAGCCTTGGGCACGCAAACATTTTGGCCGCAGATACCTTGGACATTTCAACAGGACTCAGCAAGAATGGTTACAAAAAGAGGTTCCTCGCTTCATTTCCAGCGCACAATGACCACCAAAATCTCCGGATACCAATCCGTTGGACTATTGTGTCTGGAGTATTTTGGTATTTAGCAAGGTTGGCACTAAAAAATACCAAAGTGTCGACCACCTCAAGCAAGCGCATCGCCGGGAATGGGCCAAAATACCGCAGAGCAACATTGGGGCAGCGTGTGACGGTTTCATTGGCCGTTTAAAGGCCGTAATTCGTGCCAAAGGTGACCCATTCGAACAAATCTAAACTTATTAAAATTTTATGCTATTTCCAACATTTTTTTGCTTTCATTCGATAATATTAAAAAAAGTCAAAAATTATGGCGTTTGACTTTGTTGCATTTTTTTATCTCATCCTGTGTGCCCCATGGGGCTTCGAAAAAATTTCGATTATTTACAAACGAAATGACAAACTCAATACACCCTCTATATTATTCTTTGTGAAGTTTATGATAAAAACAAATGAAACGTGAAGGCTTCGGCCCAAAACCCACAACTGGTTTCAGAGTTATTAACTTGACCTTGCAGTCGGTCAGTTATTGGTTACAGCAACAACAAATCATAAAATGTTAATATGTTTCTGTGGCGACAGCTAAAAACAATGGCCTGGCTTTCGGCCGACGACATTTTAAACGCCGGCTGCGGCGGAATGGTGACAGTACGACAGCCGGAGAGCATTCCCAAAACTAACGACGATCGTATTACACAACAATTCGTTGACGTTTCGTTGCTGCGGACAGAGCAAATAAATGATCAAATTAGTATGCGTGGTAAGTGTGAAGATGTTCCAATTCACTCAAAGTTTTGGCATTAGGCTATGACTAAGAGCGAGGTAGTTGACATACTTAAGGTACAGATGAACCAATTTTGACAGAAAAATCTTTTAAGACATATTTTCAATCTTTTTTATGCAGTCATCGGAGATAAGGTATTTTTAGAATATTCGATCCCTACGATGAAATCTTTCATTAAATTTTTCCAACGGCAAAACTAATTGGTTTAATTTAGTCCCTCAAAAATATCATTTGTACTGCACTGCTATGTAAATTGAGATTGGTTTCTAAAACCAATGAATTCTCCCCTGGCGTCCATGGCCTGCCTCACTGATCGCACACACGAAAGGCCTGTAAAAAAAATAAACACACTGATCGGAAAGTACAACATATCGTGGTTTACTTTTTTGTCAATTTCTATTGTGTTAAGCGCTATTAACAATGTTTTGTCTAACAACTTTGGCCTTGCTCGAATCAACAGTTCGAAGACAAGTAGACATAAATAAACACTTGATGATGGACGACCCTCCCTCCCTTCCTGCCACTTCCCCCACGCCGTCGTTCCCCTGTGCAATCGAAATCGAAAACTAACATAAATAAGCTCTCATATGTTTATATTTTGGAGATTCCCGTGTTGTTATTGTTGCTGCAATTGTTGTTATTACCAAGTGTAAATGGCCTCTTGATTGTTATTTTTACTAGCGCTGTGCTAGTTTCCTAAATTTCTTCTAAAATTGGCAGTATTTAAGGCCAAATGACATAATTTGTTGTTAGTCAATATAAAAATGGCAACGACACACATACTTTTACAGTCATATGTGTGTGCGTGTTGTCATACATATAGGAATACAATTTACATTGGTTTGTCTTTTAATGTAATTTGTTTCATTGTAGTTTCAATACAGTGTACAGTGTTTTGAAAGTAAATAAATCTGAAATATTTTTTTTTTCAGAAGATACTTGATAAATACCCGGACTGTATGGCACATTTATGAATCTGTCTATTGATTAGTAATAAATGTTTCTATCTCGTTACTTTAAAAGAGTGGACCGATATTTTCCATTGAAGTCCAGGGTGAGAAAAACTGCAACAAAGTCAAACGTTATAATTTTTACAGTTTTTTTAATTTTATTGAATGAAAACAAAAAATGTCGAAAACAGCATCAAATTTTAGAATAAGTTTAGATTTGTACGAATTGGTCACCTTTGGCACGAATGGCCTTCAAACGACCAATGTTGCCCGAATGTTGCTTTGCGGTATTTTGTATTTCCCGGCGAAGCGCTTGCTTGACGTAGTCGACACTTTGATATTTTGTTAGTGCCAACCTTGCTTTCCAAAATACTCCAGACACAATAGTCCAACGGATTGGTATCCGGAGATTTTTGTGGCCATTGTGTTCTGGAAATGAAGCGATGAACCTCATTTTCTAACCATTCTTGGGTGGCGCGTGCTGAGTGCGATGTTGCTGAGTCCTGTTGGAATGACCAAGGTCTGCGGCCAAAATGTTTGCATGCCCAAGGCTTTAATACACCCTCCAAAATAATTTCGCGATAATATTCGTAATGTATTCTGATGCCAAGGTCGGCTTCTATGGCGGCAAACACGACCCGATTTCATTATATAATTTTACAAAATTATTTTTGCTCCAAATTCCGTTACTCACTCTAAATTTAAAGACCATATCTGTAATCAATCAATGGATATGTGAATACAAAAACTAAATTCTTCGGATGTACCTCCGTTTCTGATGCTATATCTCCCGTTCCAAGTAAAAATTTCAAAAATTTATGTAGTTTATATAACTTTCAGGCTCTGCTGTAGTATATTTGGAAATTTTCAGGAAAATCTGTTCAGCAGTTTTCGAGTCTATAAATTACAAACAAACATTTTCCTCTTTTTAGACATGCATCTAAGATTCATAAAAATATTGGAATTCACGAATTTTTCGTTATGATGCTTATAATTATTCAAAATATTGACTTCTTGTGGGGGATATATCAGAAAGAATAGACCAATAAATCCCGTATTTATATCAGACTTTGTGTTAGTAGAAATATTGGGATGTTCCAAGTTTTAAACTAGTTAAAGATTGTGGGTTCCAAATGTTCACCCATTGTGGGGGAGGTAATTCAAAGGAGTGATATAATGTATCCCATTTTCATTTTAGACATACATTTGTTAACAATATTGGGATATGAGAAATTTAAAGACAATGGAATCTTTGTTCACATTTTATAAGCTGATTATTCAAAATATCCATTGCCCATCTCCCTTTGCGAATTATCGTGCTCATCGGTCAGATGAACGAACGGAAACCCATCACCCATCAACTTTAAATGTCCCGAATTTAATTTGGACTAAAAATACTATCCCGAAACTGTCATTTGATGAAATACGCTTTGGCCGGTATATATCATTTGATGTTTAAAAATAGATCAGCGTATTTTTTTATTGCAGGGCATTTTTAATGGGGTTTTAGCTGGGTTCTCCTTTTGGCACAACCCAATTTAGGAAATACCCACATAAAGTTGTTTAAGCTTTTGGGAAGATGAAGAAAAAATCTTGTCTGAAACGCAACCCATTTCTATGCACTGTATTGTGGCAGACGAAGATGGCACAAACGGTTAAATTATATTGTTTATCTGATAATTTGACATTTATTTGTCATTGTTTTGGTTTAAAGTAGTTTTGGTAAAAAGTGAATTCACTTGCAGGCACCGGTCGTGAGTCTCTGTTTTTGACTCTCTGCAGAGCGATAGTTGTTTCTTCTTTTACTTTTTTCTTTACACAGTGTCATATTGTCACTGTTGCTTCTTACTGTTGGCTTACGAAACGATATGCATGCCGCTGAAGCAGCTCCAGCTATGGCTGTAAGTATTTAAATAAATAAACATTATTGGACATAATTGGAAAAATACCTTGGATTACAAAATACAATTGAAAACCGCAGTCAGTCAGTCAAGCAGCCAAGCAACCAATCAACCCGCCAGCCAACAGCAAATGCAAACAAACACGCACACACACAGAGATACTAAATGTGTCATAAACGCAGATTTCAAGGTTAAGTACGTTACGCAATACAAAAAGAAAAGGTTGCCGCCATAAATGCGATGCAGTTCCGTTAACTCGACCGGACATCAATGTCAGTATTGAAAATAAAGACATTTTGATTGATCGGACTTGGGCTAGGGGTCAACTTGGGAGGTTTTTATATCAAATTATTTATCCATCAATATATTGCGCATATTCACAAATAATGATGTGGGAAAGTGTACGATAATTGAGTAGTATGAAGAGCTGGAAAGTAAGTTCTTTTGACCATCTGCCTCCAAATACCATTTTTCGTACTTTCAAGGACTGGAACTTACTTTTTCGGTCATTTCTTTCAAATGAATGTTTTCAATGGGTTACAAAAGCAATAACGTGCAGGGTGAGATGAAAAAACTGCAACCAAATTCAGACTGCTGTCATTCCTAAGCCACTCGTCCGACAGCTCATTATATTGTTTACAAGCATACAAAAGCATTTTGGTGAGAATATTCCAGAAAAAATCTTATTCGTGATGGAATTCAAGCGTGGTAGTGTGATTTCTCCATATTTAGCTGGATAACCACAAGTGGATCTCCTTAGAGAACTCCTGCATTTAAATGTGAATGAATCTTTTGTGTCTCGTACCATCGCTCGTTACCGTGATACTGGTAGCGTAGCCCGACGTTAAGGAAGTGAACGGAAGAAAACAGCAACATCATCAGAAATGATTCGAAAAGTGCAGTGACCGAAAAATGGCTCGTGAGCTGAACATATCGCAATATTCAATTCGGCAAATATTGAAGAATGAGCTCGGAGTAAAGCCATTGAAATTCCAAAAAGTGCAAAAACTTACATCGCAACAGAAAGAAAATATACTCAATATAGCTAAAGAGCCGAAAGTGGTGAACTGCCGAATTTGGTTTTCTCCGATGAGAAAACATTCGTTGTCCAGCAGTTTGTAAACAAACAAAATGATCGGTTTTACTTGCCAAAGAGGTCAGCTGAAAATGTGCACCTTCGGTTGGCCACCAGACCTCAAGCGCCTGCCACGGTGATAGTGTGGGTCGCCATAACAGCCGATGATCGCTCTCCGCTCGTATTAATCGACAGTGGCATCAGAATAAATACCGAATATTATCACGAAAATATTCGGGAGGGTGTATTGAAGACTTGGGCACGCAAACATTTTGGCCGCAGACCCAAAATCTCTGAATATCAATCCGTTAGTCTATTGTGTATAGATTATTTTGGAAATCAAGTTTGGCACTAAAAAATACTAAAGTGTTGATCACTTGAAGCAAGCGCTTTGCCGGGAATGAGCCAAAATACCGCAAAGCAACATTCGGGCAGCATGTGACGGTTTCGTTAACTGTTTGAAGGCCATAATTCGTGACAAAGGTGACCAATACGAACAAATCTAAACCTATTCTAAAATTGGATGATATTTGCGACATTATTTGCTTTTATTCAATAAAACTTAAAATTAAAAAATGTAAAAATTATGGAATTTGACTTTGTTGCAATTTTTTTTTTTATCTCGCCCTGTATACCCAAACGTAGGCTTCTAAAAGCCATTATCAACACATCAACTATCCTAGATATCAAATATATTTTTTACCAAATTTCCAAACAATTTATAAAATGGTTCGACCTCTTTTTAATTTCAACGGACATAACTGATTCCACTTAAAATATTGTGCTGATCAATAAAAGGTATAATTCATGTCCTTTTTAACGAATATTTTAAGCTGTTGCAAACGGAATGACAAATTTAATACGCCCCACCCAATTTTATGGTGTAGGGTATACAAATTACCCAAACCTTATCTCTCTCCCTCTCTTCGGATCGTTATTGTTATTATTTCCCTAATTCGCAACACCAACGTATACCACCCTCCACTTGAAACAGCTGTTATTATTTTGAGTGTGTGTGTGTGTTTCTATTACAAATTCAATGAGCGTCGTTTAAAAAGAATCGCATGCCTTTATCCTCATCGGCAGTGGCTCACACACACACACACACACACACACACAGTCACACATCACATATTGGCTTTTACAAAAATAAACAAACATCCGCACTTACAAATTCCGTTGATGTTGTAATGTACGCAATTTGTTGGCTGAGTAGCGACCGATGTTGCTGCTCGACGTTGCCGTCGTCGTCGTTGTGCCAATGTGCGAACAACAAGTCCGTCCCAACGTCGATGCATCCATCCATCTATACGGCTCTTTGGTCCGTTGTTGTCGTTGTTGTTATTGTTCCATTCATTGACTCACTTCACTTTCGATTTCATTTGGCTGCTATTTTTTTGTTTGTTCGCCTCTCTGGTGGCTTTTGCGGTGGCTGTTCACATTGCAGAGCCGAGCTGAGCTGAGCTTTAGGAAAAAAAAAACCGCCAGTGAGTACGTAAATCATATATTGCCATGTGTGAAGAGCGCGTTTATGCTCGTCCACGGATTGGCATGAGCCGACTGTCGTCCAGTGTTATTAGTTATTTCGAAGTTGACGCATACTGATCGATTACACCGGAGTACAATTCAATACTGTCGAACAGTTTTAACGCGACCTCAACCAACACCACCGCCATCGTTGTAGCCTCCGCCGCCGTTCACCCTCCTCCTACTCCTCTCAATTCGAAATAATTACGCGGATTTTTCAAAGTGATTTGCATTTACAAGTGTTGACAACTCAGAGTCACGTCGAATCAAAAATTCAAAGTGAATATTTCGAGCGAAATCAAAAACGAATTTCAAAATCCATCTAAACAAAAATATTGTTCCCACTGCCGGTACAACAACAACAACAACAGCCACCATTGTGCATTGGTATAATTTGCCCAAACGAGGCCAATTAGTGCAAAATATTTACAATCGCTTTAGCCCAAAATATGTACTTGTCGGATTGAAATTTGAAATAAAATTAACAAAATAAAACAAGAAAGAGTTCTCAAAAAAATCAAAAAATAACGAGCACTACCGACTATGTTAAGCTACTCAATATGGTGGCTCATAGCGCTATGGACGTGTACGGTGATGACAAGTGCATCTCAAAATTACAACTCCCTTTACAACAAAGCCGTCAGCCCAGAGCTTAAAAAAGCCATTCAAAAGGAATTGCCCAAGGAAGCAAAGTTCTTCGATGAGCTGGACTGTAAGTTTGTATAAATTTTTAGGTGTATAATATATTTTTGGGGTATCGAACCTAGAAATATAAATCAGAAATTATGCGAGCTAAAACAAAAAGACATAGCCTTTGTTTCAATAGTCGAATACACATGTCGACAAATATATGACGTTTTTTTGTGTATTTTGTGTCTTTTTTCCCAAATTCAGACTTACAACTCTAATTTTACTTCAGAGATACCCAAGAATTCATTTAATAAATCTACCTAATACATGATTCTTACTGGAATACATACAATTAAAAATAAATTCAATTCCGACAAAACTTATTTTTGATGTAGAAAAAAAATTTTAAATAAAATTTTTGAATTGAAAAAGGTACATTTGAAAAAAATCAAAACATTTATAACACCCCGTGTGTCAGACTTCATTTCTCTTAAAATCACAAAAAGTTGATACTGTCAAAACGTGCCTAGTCAAAATAACAGTTTTAGACCCTAGGTCTCTTTGAACCAATTCCGTTTCAGAACATTTGGAGTCGATCTAGCATTATCCGTCCGTCCGGCTGTCTTTCTGTCTGTCTGACTGGCTGGTGCGCACGATAACTCTTGAAGAGAGTATCCGATTTGGTCCAAACTGGGTTCATCGTAATATTATTATCAAACTTAGATGGAGTTCGAAGATGGGCAATATCGGTTCAAAAATTCGAAATTTTCAAAGAAAATATTTTACAACAAAGAAAAAGAAAGAATAATCCGATTTCGCTTCAACTTTGCAAATCATAATATTTGCATCAGCGCTAGGTCAGGTGCGAAAATGCACAATATCTGTCCACTCCATGAAGTACCTACCCCACAAAGGGTCAATATTTTGAATAATTTGAATATAAAATGTGAAAAGAGAATCCGATTGTCTCCAAATTTTGTACATCCTAATATAATGAAATATATCGGACTACTCCTTCTGGTACCTCCCTCACAAAGGGTTAAAATTCGGTATAATTATGTATCTTATAAAATGTCTTCAAACTTCGCACATCCTTATATTTCTAGCAACACAAGAAGTGAAGACGGCATATATCGGACCACTCCATCAAGTACCTCCCCACAAAGGGGTTAAAATTTGGAATAATTATAACTCTTATAAAATGTGGAATAAGGGGCCGATTGTTTTCAAATTTCACACACTTTAATATTTTTATTAACACAAACTCTGATATGTACGTATGATATATCAGTCTACTCCTTCCGATACCTCTCCCACAAAGGGTCGACATTTTGAATAATTGTATATCTCAAAAATGCGAAACAATCATGAAATTCTTTTCAAATTTCATGTATCCCAATAGTTTTACTAACACAAGTTCCGGTATGAAAATTATAGACATCGGCCTACCCCTTCTGCTACCTCTCCAACAAAGATTCACGGTTTGCAATACTTATATCTTTCATAATGAGCTTCACACCAGATTATTCCCAAAAAAAATTATATTTGTCTGATTTTCTTCAAATGTTGGACGTCGTCATATTTTTATCCGTATATCTGGTACCTCTGGCATATTTCAACATTTGGAAGTTGTCGATATAGTCCAAATCGGACACGTTGTAATATTTATATCAGAGTTAGTTCAGATGAGAAGTGAATAATATTGGTCCACTCCTTCGGTATCTCCTCCATTTTAAATAATCATAATGTATGTCAAAACATATTTTAATAAAATGACATAGGCTGAGGGTGTAAATCTATCCGAAAACCGACTGATACTTTACACTTGTTACAATTTCAAACAGTATATGTATCCAGGTATGGCCCCAATACAAAGATTTCTGCCGATCGTTAAGGTTTCGGTCAGTATTTCCGGCTAAATTAATTGCAATTAGACATTTCGGAATTACATTAGACATTACAATTTCTGGACGATTCCTGCCACATTTTCAGTTTATACACAGAAGAAAATGTAGCCAATATATTTCGGCACTCAAGGTTGATTATACGTGTTATACCCACTACCATATGTTATGGTATATTAATTTTGTCACAGCGTTTGCAACCTCTCGAAAAATTTGTCGGAGACCCCATAGTCTGTGCGTTCTTCCGTCTGATGAAATGTAAATAGAGGCTGCAATTTCCATGATAATTAATGAAATTTAGCACAGAGGTTGTAGTTCTAAAAATTCTTTGGTACTGAAAATAGGTATGGCCCCGATACTCCTGATATTCGCTCCCGATTTCCAACCGTATAAAATGCAAATTTTGAAATTCAATATATTGAAAGAAGCTACCCATTTTTGTATAGTTCCCATGTAATGGTTACTCCTAATTTTCGGTATTTCAAATAAACTGAGATTTGACATTTCGGATTATTTGTGGGTAAAAACTTACATTGTACGCCCCAATATTTTGAGAATAAGTAGTTGTTAAGTGTTCACATGGTGAAGGATGCAAAAAGTTCGGCCCAACCAAATATAAAGTAGTTTTTACTTATTTTATACAGGCTAGGTACCACGGACCCAACTAGGAACAACCTATATCAGAAAGTAACGAAGTACGAATAATGGATATTTTGGAAAAAATATTAACAAATTGTAAATCTAGTCGCACAAAGTTCAAAATTTGCCATACTTTGTGAACAGCCCTCGTTTAATCAGCGACAATGATATCCGTTTAGTTACCCTATATAAATTTGATCGATTTGACCTATTAATTATCACAACAACATAAGTAGGTAACGCTTCTTACATAAGACACACTTCTTGTGAAAAGGTCTTTAAATTTCCTGACCACCACCACACGCAAATCAAGATGAAACATTCCAATAGCTTTTCTACCACATCTGTGTAACGTATTTTTCCATTAGCCTATAAACCCAAAACCTACACCTTTCTGTCCCGCCTCAACAATCGTAATTGTGGATGTAAACCAATTAAGACAAAAACTTAATTTATGTAAACATCCAAAAAGGGAAGTCGGCGATAATCGCTAAGCTGTTCAAGTGAAAGTAATTCGTTGACCATTCCAGCACCCTGAAACAAGCTCCAACAAATGATTCTGCTCCGATCTGCAGTTAAATTCGGCAACACGAAATCAAAACCACAAACAAGCAACAAACGCCATCCAACCCAAACCGAATCCCCCTCCGCCATTCTGTGTGAAATACGCATGCACCCTTTTGTAACTAAGCCAGCTAAGGAAATAAAAGATCAACCGAAAACAAAGAAAGAAAATAAAAACGTTCCAAAAAGAAATAAAAATCGTAGAAATTAATTTCAGCTATCACCCAAAATGTACATTTGAGCTTATCACCATCAGACATCACTGATTTTTACAAGCTTGTCTATGGTAAATGTTTTTGTAGGAAGTATTAGTGATTTTAATTATGTTTTCCCCGAAAAATTTCACGATCGGAATCCATATTTGATACGAAAAGTTGCAGGTATATTTAACAAGGTGTTTCTTTAATAACAATCCATTTGGGAACAGCCTAACAATTTCCATCCGTTTTGCAGCAAAAAATAACGCACCGAAAATTATTCCGTATTTTTAGTAGGTCCATGTAATCGAATGCAATACCACTCTCATAGTTTTGAAAAGACTGGACAATGATATCTAAGTCAGTCAATTGCTTGAATTGTATAGCTTTATAAAGATCAATAAGAAAAAATAGAAAGCAGAAAATTTCAGATCATTAAGCACGTCTCGAAAGAGAAACAAACACATAGAAAATAGTGAGATTGATGCAAAACTCGGAGTATTCCCATCAACATCAAAAGATGAGTTATGAATCAAAAACCGACAAATGCATTTTTTACTTATAGAACAAATTCAGTTTTGAGACAAAATTTTAAAATCTGAATTTAATAAATATGAAATGAAATAAATATATTTTGGATTTCGACTTTCAAACAAAATCAAATAGTTTAGCTAAAATTCGAAATTTTGTTGAGAAATAAACAAATGAAAAACATAAAGTTATGCCGGGCAGAGCCTGTAATACCCTCCAACTTACGGTAAAGGAAATATTTTTATAAAAATGAGGGCCATATCAAAACGGGAACCTCGATAGACAATTTTGTACTTCAAGGATTGTCATCTATCAAATCTTCTGAAATACCAAATTTGAAAGAATTATGTATGTGGATAAATGTGACTAGGATTATCAAAATGCCGAATATCGGTGGGTATCGTTATATGTGCGCTATAGGAAAACGTGGAAGTAAATATGCAATTTTCTGCCACTGGGCTAGAACCCATTTTAAAAATATCGAATACCGGCATACCGTTATATGGGGGCTATACCAAAACGTGGACCTACACATACAATGTCTCGCCACACAATTTCTGGACAAATCCGTTAAAAAATGTAGAAAATCATCAAAACACCGAATATCGGGAGGTACCGTTATATGGGGGCTATACCAAAACGTGGGCCTATGTACGCTACGGAGCTAGAACCCATCATGCCCAACAAATTCCAATTTTTAGACAAATCCGTGAACAAAATGTGGCAAAAATCATCAAAATTCCGGATATCCGAAGGTACTGTTATATGGGGCTATACCAAAACGTGGACCTATACATACAATGTTTTGCCACCGGAGATAGAACCCAAATCCGTGGAAAAATGTAGCAAAAATCAACAAAAAACCGAATATCGAAAGGTACCGTTATATGGGAACTATACCAAAACGTGGACCGATATATCATTTTCAATAACAACCATCCTAGGCACACTACAAATTGTTCTGCTAAATTTTGAAGATTTACGTCAAATAATGTGGGCTATATCGGGATTTATACAGACAGACGGACATTGTTTTATCGACTTAGAATCTTATCAATATAAAGTATATATATGGGGTCTACGATGAATATATAGGGATCTCACAAACGGAATGTCAAAGTTAATATTCCCTCCTATCCAAGGTGGAGGATATGAAAATCTTAATCCAAAAATCTCAGAATCGAAAATCCCCTTTGCGTATTTTTACCACAGACAAAAATCGACATCGAATTCGTTTGTTGAAAAGGGTCAAATAACTGAATCACATATCCCTAGTTTAAATATTGACAAGTACGGTGTTCCAATTGAAGGAGCGAAATAAAAAGCTAATGAAAGGAGCAAGATCTGAGCTATAAAGCGGAGGAAATAACCTCGAGTATTGTAATGTTTAAAAAAATTAAAGTTTCGAATCGTATTCTGGTATTTTTTCATTAGGCGAATTTATTGCATTCGTGATTCTACTTCAAAAACGTTAAAAGCCCTTCTCATCCTACCTCGTGGTTTTTTTAGATAATTTTTTGGGAACAATTGAAGGTTAATAAACTTGAATTTTTCAGGGAATATTGGAGATCACATGGATTTTTAAAGAACTTTTCAATAACTCACATATGTCAATAAACATGGGTTTTAGAAAAAGTTTTCGATTTTGAATCAACGTGGATTTTTTGGATTACTTTTCCTGGACTAATGGACTAAATTATCTAGGATTTCTTTAGAATATTTTTGATGGATCAATATATCACCTAAACGTGGACTTTGAAAAGATACTTTCGAAACAGCCATATACTACCGAAACGTGAATTTTTTAAAGGATGCTTTTCAAGGACCCATAGCCAATATATACGTGAAATTTTGATAAATAATTTTTAAGACCTATAGAACACCTAAACTTGATTTTTTAAGAATATTTTTCAAGATCACCTAATAATTTTTTTAACTAAATACGAACAGCAAAATAGATCATTTGTTTAATTTGCTTAGTTTTCAAAGACCCTACAGCAATCGATTCTATTTGAGACATCATTGATATACCTTTCAACGGTAGTGGATTGATGCGTTTCGTGTTCTTGCCAAAATTTTAATGTAAAAACAAAAACAAGCCACACTGTTCTGTAAATTAAAATAGTTAAAATAAATTTATTAACATCTTTGGGTTTGGTCACTGCAGTTAAAAGTTCGTCCCCAAAAATATTATCTATCCATGAAATCTCATCCAAAATATAGCCATAGAAAATATTGACAGCCAAAAGGTCAAATGAAATTATAATGTTCGTTCGTACATAATTTTGCCCCAAAGGCAGTTTTTTTGGAGCACAGCTATCAAAACAAACCAGATCGATTTGTTGCTGCAACAAGTTCAATGGCATGCAATTTAGACATTAATATGTACCTGTAAGCGAGTAAACAGCCACAGCTACAACGCCACCAATGACAGAGTCGAATGGAGCCGTCGGCAGTCAATGGTGGCAAGTGTGTCCGTAAAATCCAGGAAAACAACTTTTCCAAGGCCCGGACACAAAGTTGTGGCAGCAGCAGCAGTGCCATTGATGCCAAGCATATTTATCCAAGTTTTACCACAACATCAAACATGCTAAGCGTTGTTTTTATATTTTTTTGAATAGGCTTCGAGAGAAACATTTCTACAAGCCTTCGTTAAGAGTGTCAGATACAAGAGTAGTAACTCAACACTTTTCCGATTCCGTTTTGTAGAAAAAGAAGTTGAAGAATAAGAAAGAAGGTAATATCAAATAATTGCAGGCACCCACGGCAACAGGAGAATACCGTTTTTAGGCTTCCTCTTCGCACTGATAATATCATCATAGCATGCATACACATGCAGATTTTATATGTATGTTTCTTGTTCACAAAACAACATTTCAATTACAGCATTTTGCTGAAATGCGCATGCGCACATCCATCACAACAACGCATTTTAGCCTCAATGTGGAAGACAAGGCACATGAAGCCGAAGAAGCAGAAGAAGACGACGGCAAGCGACTAAGCCACAGACGAGTTTAATTAAAAACTTTAATCAAAAGAAAACAACCGAAATAAATATAAAACTCAAAACAAAAACACCAACGACGACAACAACGACAGCAAACAAGTGCAAAGAAAGGCTGCAGCAGTGGATGAATGAAGAAATGCTGAGTAGTTGGACGGATGGCTGGTTCGCTGGCTGGCTGGCTGGATTGGGTTGAAAAGTGAAAAGCGTATGCGAGCGATACGAAATCGTGGAGTTTACTTCTGTGTTTTTTGTTGGATTATTTTCTTCACTTGGTTTCTTCTCATTAAAAGTTGTGATTGCCGTTTTTACAGCTACAACTCTGCTGGCGTCTTGTACCTGTAAGCCAGAGCGTTTCATTTGAGGCGTTTAGTTCTGATTTGTGTTCGAAGAAGAGCGGTTCGTGAAAATTTTTAGCAACACGCAACACGTTCGAGGAAATATCCGCTGGTTTGGTGTGCTTGATCCCAAAAAAAAGCAAAAGCTTTCTTTTTTCTCCAATTCACTGCCTCCCCCCTCTGTCCCCACCCAGCCACCAACACAAGTGTACAAATTTTCCTTTCGCTTTCAACGCTAACGTGAAAATCAGTGACGACGACTACCTTTGGGTTATTTTTTTATTTTTGTTGTGGAAAATTTTCTTTGTGAAGCATTGGAGAAGAAACGCAAAACGGAATAATGCAAAATTACTAAAGAAATCAAATTTGAAAAGAAGAAGAAGAAAAGAAAACCGCAGAAGTGAAATAAAAAATCCGTAGCAATGTTTTGTTCAAGAACTAAGCGACGTCGCCACGCATGCAAAAAGGACACGTGGCTGAGATGGACATTCGAAATAATGTGTCTCTTTGTTCACTCCAGCCACTCGCTCTCCTCTTTGGGCTATCCCACACCGCAACAGGAACACGATCTCATCATATTGGATGCGCTGTCACGGCGCAGTGGACCTGGATACTATGGCGAAAACTCTGTCATGGAAATGCTAGCAAGAAGTAGTGCAATTGTTTTTGAATATTTTTCTACGTATTTGGAATTTATTGATTGATAATTGGATTGGATTGAAGATTTGGAAGTGTGATTTCTGAATTCGATTTGTAATTCGTAACATTTCAATAGCAGCTCGTGAATTCCATTTTAAATCCATGGCATTCTATTCAATATTCATATTTTCTCCATTTGTAATTCGAATTTATTTATTTTCGAGTTTTATTTTAAATCGAATTTTTCCATTTAAAATTCGAAACAAAAATAATTACAAAATAATTTCGCATTGGGTTCGCGTATTTAATATTTCGAATTCAAATAATAATGGAAATTTTCAAATTGAAAATCAAATACAAGTAAAGAATTGAAATTTCAAATAAAATTAAACGAATTACAAATGGAATTCTTAAATTCAAATAAAAAATTGAAAAATTGAATTATAATGAAAATATTCTGAGTTAAAAATAAATTCTTGAATTTATGTTTCGAATTTCATCTGAAAAACTTTAGGAAAATGACCAAAATGTGGTTAAGTCTTTGGACTATTTATTTCTCGTATAATTATCACATAAATTGAAAATATGAAATTAATTGGCTACCAATGTTGAAAGTACAAAAACTATGGGAATTCTTGAATCGGAAAATATTATTTGTTTTAAATAATTCTTGAAGAAATATTTCAAAATCAAAACAAATATTAAAATTTGTTTAGGTTTTTTACTATTTGTAATGCCATTCGAATCATCGCTTCGCTTCATTTTCTTAATTTGCTAATTTCGAATTATAAATAATTCGGAGACTTTCTGGAATTCTAACGTCGTAGTCACTTATAAAATAGCTTCAACGAAGCTAGAAATTTGATTCCGTTTTACCCTAAAGATCCGATTTTTGCACGTTCCATAGCCACATTTGGATAAAATCTAACTTGCTAAGTGCTCTTCTGTGATCCAGCAACAGATCCATTTTTAAAAGTTTAATATGATTGATATTTCTTTTGCTAAAACGGACTTAAAATAGCCAAAATGTTTGGATTAATTCCCCACTCTTAGGAAACTGTTACTAATAAAAAATTCCAATTTTGTAAATTAAAAGTTATAAATACTTGGTGTTCCAATAAAATTACATCTAAAAATACAAAATAATCGAAAACATGTGTTAGTGTATAGCCTCAATCTGACTAAATTTTCTTCTCCGTCCATTTCAGTGATACCCCAAACCTGTCGCTATCGTGGTCAAAAATTCGAATGTGGCCTATCGATATCGTGTGTTCTGAGTGGTGGCAAACCTTTGGATTTATGTTCCGGTGGCATGATATGGTCCTGCTGCGTGGACAAGGATGAAAACAGTGCCGAGGAAACCAGTAATGCAGGTCAAGTCAACAACACCAGTAAGTATCCAACGACGGAGTATACTCCAAATACATTTAAAAGCGAGCTTTAAAATGCCATCTCCTGCAGCCAACACAGGTGCAATGCTTAGTTTACAAAGCGAAAACAACAAATTCACACCCGCATACAAATAATTGTTACATGAACACAAGCGCACACATGCCACCCCATGCCATGTGCCGCCATTGTGCAACTTTGTTTTTTTTTTTTGCTGCATTAAAGCTGAACATATAAATTGCAACAAAATTTCAATTTAGATTTGTAGATCAATTTCGCAAAACTTGACGGTATTCTACAAAATTGAAATGCTTCAACGTCTGACTGGCACAACACAAGAATCGCAAAAAACAGCCCGAGCTGTGAATGCCGTAGTTGTTGTTGGCAATTTGGTGTAAATGGGCAAGCAAATGCAGCCATTTGTGGCATGAAACATGCACTTGCAGTGATTCGTTCAATTCCTCTATTCCCCTCCAAAAGAGTGGCATAATAAACAAAGTCGGCGAATGAAAATCAAGTCGAACATTTACAATTCAATGCCAATAGCCCGATTCTTGGTTACCAATTACGGCGGAATAAACTGTAATTGGGGCTAATTTGAACCATATTCATTTATTGTTGCAGAAAGAGGTCTAATTAATCTGCATTGCTTTATTATTCTAGAAAACAAAAATTATTAAAAAGTGTTGTGGAAAAAATTACGGTAGCTTGTGACATAAAAGTGGTTCTTATTAACATACCAGAATAACATAAGAGAAATGGGGTGTTTAAAATACAATATTTGGGAGAGCCTCCTAATCGTTTTTAATAGAAAAGTCGGTTTAAATATTGAAGAATCTTCCAAGCATAACAGTTTAGCAAAAACTGCCACAAAATGATTGGGAAATACAGGGTGAGATAAAAAAACTGCTACAAAGTCAAACACCATAATTTTTACATTTTTTTAAATGTTATTGAATGAAAGAAAAAATGTCGGAAATAGGATCAAATTTTAGAATAAGTGTTGATTTGTTCAAATAAGTCTCCTTTGGCACGAATTGTGGCCTCAAACGGCCTATGAAACCGTCACACGCTGCCCGAATGTTGCTCTGCGGTATTTTGATCCATTCCCGGCGAAGCGCTTGCTTGAGCTGATCGACACTTTGGGATTTTTTAGTGCCAAACTTGCATTCCAAAATACTCCAGACACAATAGTCCACCGGATTGGTGTCAGGAGATTTTGGTGGCCTTTGTGCGCTGGAAATGAAGAGAGGAACCTCATTTTATAACCATTCTTGGGTGGCGCGTGCTAAGTGCGATCGATGGTTCTGAGTCCTGTTGGAATATCCAAGGTCTGCGGCCAAAATGTTTGCGTGCCCAAGGCTTTAATACACCCTCCAGAATATTTTCGCTATAATATTCGGCATTTATTCTGATGCCACGGTCGATTAATACGAGCGGAGAGCGACCATTGGCGGTTATGACGGCCCTCACCATAGCCGCGCTTGAGTTCTCGTGGCCAACCGAAGGTGCACATTGTTAGCTGACCTCTTTGGCAAGTAAACACGATCATTTTGTTTATTTACAAAATGCTGGACAACGAATGTTTTCTCATCGAAGAAATCCAAATTCGGCAGTTCACCACTTTCGGCCAAGCGAAGCAACTATTTAGCTCTTTCGAGTATATTTTCTTTTTGTTGCGGTGTAAGTTCTTGAACTTTTTGGAATTTCAATGGCTTTACTCCGAGTACATTTTTCAATATTTGCCGAATGGAACTTTGCGATATGTCCAGCTCACGAGCCATTTTTCGGCCACTGTAACGCGGTTTTTGATCAAGTCGCTTCTTTACATTTCGAATCATTTCTGCGGATGTTGCTGTTTTCTTCTGTCCACTTCCTTAAGGTTGGGCTACTCTACCAGTATCACGATAACGAGCGATGGTACGAGACAAAAGATTTATTCACATTTAAATGCTGGAGTGCCCTAACGATAGCCACTTGTGGTTTTTCAGCCAAATATAAAAAAATCACACTATCACGCTTAAATTCCCTCACGAATAACATTTTTTTTCTGGAAAATTCTCACCAAAATGCTTTTGTACGCTTGTAAAGAATATAATGAGCTGTCAGTGGAATAATTTTAACAGCTTTTGGACGAGTGACTTAGAAATGGCAGCATTCTGAAGTTGGTTGCAGTTGTTGTCATCTATATGTGATATAGGAGTCCAATTGTCTTCAATATTTATGAAGATGATAGAGATCGGACCATTCCTTCGATTATAAAATCCGAAATAAGCATCCGGTACCTCCCCCTTAAAGTCAAAGTTTTGAATATCCTGAAGCTCATAAAACGCGAATTTAACATTCGATACTCGAGACTACAAAATAATATATTCGTCACTCTTTACATGTCACGTCTACATAAAGACGACCAAACTGATTTATCCTCCTAAACATTTCATTTGCTTAAATTCTCATTTATTTTTAAACAAAGAATTTGTTTTAAATTCATTGAAACAATATTTTATGAAAAGTAAAAGTGAAACTGTTTTGGAAGAAAAACAACAAAAAAAAGCAAGTCATTGCTATGCATGTATTGTGTTATGATTTAAGACTTTTGCTATTTTCCAATTGGTGTGTAAATGTATGTGTGGGAGTGTGTGTGTGTGTGCGTGTATGTGTGTGAGTTATAGCATTTATGTCTTATTTCGCTTTACACTGTTTTTCTAAATAGATTCACATAATTTTTCTTTTTTTTTTCAACGACCTTTTTTCCACTGCCTCCCTGAGAGGGGGTTGCTCATTCATTCATTCGTTCGCCTTACAATGCAGCCACATAGGAACTGAACTATCTCGAGTGTAACGCTTTTACTCCAACGGTCGAAACATTCACATCACTGGCAACAAAAACAACCATTACCACCCCAACAATTTTGAATATTACATTTCCACGTCCGTTAGCCGGTCCGACCATTTGTTTGGGCAACAAGTGCTAATGAAGGTCTCGCGTTCCTTGAGAAACAATTTAACTTCCATCATCACTCTTCTTGATTGCTGCTCCAAAAATTTGTTGCAATGCATTGACATCGTGTATTGTGCCCTGTCAAACCCCTCCCCCCTTCGCAGCCCCTCCACTGTGACTTGTTATAATCATAAAACAAAGGCGGGGGGAAGAGGGATTACCGATGTGCAAATTGACAATGAACAAGAAGACGGGGAAGAAGAAGCAGTTATCTCATCATTACGTTATCGTTTTGTGACGAACTGTGGCGACTGCATCCCCTTGCCTTGTTATTAACTGGATTTTACCGGCAGCTTTATATTTTAACACTTGTGGCTCTGTTTTATGTTTATCACTGTGTAAATGATATAATTTTCGTCAGAAAAAGAAACCCGACGGCACTGCCGGACCGCCGAGTAAAACTTATGTAACAATTGTAACTGGTCGTGAGAAATGAGATTTGCCTAGTTTATTTAAAATAATTACACTGTGTAAAGTTTTGACCATTGTTTTCGGCGATAATAAGGGAAAGTAAACAAAAGACTTAAGACACAAACTTTTTTGTGGGAGGAAAATTGTGGGGAATATAGCAACTTTCTTATGCGACCTTTCCCAGCTATTCAATCAATTAAACTGAAATGAGAGCCACATTAAAGATATTAAGATATTCAAATATTTTATGGATAAAAAAGAAAATATTTTCTATATCACAAAAAAGGGGGTTCCACAAAGGGTCACGAAGCTGTGAGTTAAAAAAAAAACTATCTTTAATCAAATTTAAGCACAGGATACCGCAATTAAAAATGCATTTGGTTAGTCCATCCATCGTGATTATATATCCATTATTACCTTAATTATTATAAATTACTTGTGCCATAACGATTATCCCTTTTTTGAAACTTTACTCCGAATGTAAATCTGGCCTCAAACTCTGCTCATTTCCCGAGAAATGTACTCAAATAATTGCATACCAAAGAAAAATATCGCACAAAAATTTCTATTTGCTTTCCACAGGTGATATCATACACTTGTACGACATCTATCCCGACCTGGCCAATCACAACCACAACAAGCATCATCCGAGCAGTCATAGCAGCAGCCACGCCTACATCACCTCACTGAAACGACCCGTGCACAGCAATGCAATTAGCAGCTCCACAACGCATTCGGGTCTGTCGAATGGCAATCCCTATCCGGCCGTGGTGAACAATCACCAGTATCAGATATCTTCGTCGTCGGCGTCACAACATTACACCACCAATCGGCCACAGTTGCATTCCCATTATAAACCCACCACGCGACCTGTATCGACGGGCGGTGGATTTGCAAATGCTCCAGGAACTTGGGACCATGACATTAATCACATCGTTGGCCATGGAGGTGTTGGCGGTGGTGTTGGAAGTCATACCGGCATAACCAATCATTTGGACAGCTTCTTCGATGTGCCTCCCGAACCGCAGGTTCAGAGGCCGGCAAGTAGTCTGGACTCAGCAAACTCACATTCCCTGGTCCCGCCGAATGAGTCGAACTATGCGGTGGGAAATGTCTTGGACTTGAATACGGGCGAAGCAGGCGATGATTACCCCAGCGGTTCATCCCACACCGATGGTTCATATCGTCCAGTGCCGGGTATATTTTGATAAAGCTTACCCAAATCTCTTTTAGAACACCAGACACTTTTGATTACTTCACCCCATTTCATAATCTTTTCTTTTGGACTTTCTGGGACTTGTAGTGCAGTTCTCTTTCTAATCTATGACACTTCTTGGTCTTGCACTATGCTCTTCCTAATCTATCTCAGCACCCTTGCTTCTTGCACTGCCATTCTGAATTGGATATTTTTCGATTACTTCTTCTTCCTAACTCATTTTAATTTCATTTGATTGTTTTCTCATTTTCAGGTTGTGGGGAGGTTTATACCCGTTCGAACCGTATTGTGGGAGGACATTCGACTGGCTTTGGTTCGCATCCTTGGCAGGTGGCCCTCATCAAAAGTGGATTTTTATCACGCAAGCTAAGCTGCGGAGGAGCTTTGGTGTCAAATCGATGGGTTGTTACTGCTGCTCATTGTGTGGCCACGTAAGTTATTCCCCCCTGCAGAGTTTCCTTTGCGCACTATGAGCAATCATTTTAATTTTTACAGCACCCCTAATTCCAATATGAAAATACGTTTGGGCGAATGGGATGTGCGAGGTCAAGAGGAACGCCTCAATCACGAGGAATATGGCATAGAACGCAAAGAGGTCCATCCCAACTATAACCCGGCTGATTTCAAAAACGACCTGGCTTTGATTCGTTTGGATCGGAATGTGGTCTACAAGCAACACATTATACCGGTGTGTCTTCCACCACCAAACTCCAAGCTGGTGGGCAGAATGGCTACAGTTGCTGGATGGGGTAGAACCAGACATGGTCAGAGTACTGTTCCCTCCATTCTACAGGTTAGAGATTTGAATAATGCCATATTTATTTCTGATTGAAACGATTTTGCTCATTTACAGGAAGTTGATGTCGAAGTGTTGTCCAATGACCGTTGTCAGCGTTGGTTCCGGGCGGCCGGCCGTCGTGAAGCAATACACGATGTCTTTCTGTGTGCTGGCTATAAGGAAGGTGGTCGCGACTCATGTCAAGGCGATTCTGGTGGCCCCTTGACCCTTACCCTAGATGGCCGTAAAACTCTAATAGGTCTTGTTTCTTGGGGTATTGGCTGTGGTCGCGAACACCTCCCAGGTGTCTATACAAACATTCAAAAGTTTGTGCCCTGGATTAACAAAGTCATGTTCAATGACAACGGCAACACGTAGCCATGCTGCTGATCTGAGCACCCACGTCACCACACTTCATCTGTCACTTACTCCTTGAAGCGTCGCCCACTTAGTGATGGTTATCGTCAACATCTCGGGGTTGTTAGCACTTAAGTCATCAGTGTTTAAGTATCTATGCATCTGGACCGTCTTTACTCCATCCCACTTCAGCTGTCGTTGTAGCCGTCTTAAAAAGTATTTTCGGGTTTGCCTATAAGCTATGCATCCTACCGACTTTGTAACGAACTGAGTAACGCCTTTATTTATAACATATTTATACATTTAGTTATTAAATTAATTTATTTATTTGTATTTGATTTTTTATGTTTTTTTATTATTATAATAATAAATTAAAAGAAAAATAACGAAAAGTATGTAAAATATTTAAAAAAATGAGAACTGTCAGGAGAATTGTTAGATTGGAAAAATTAGACCCAACATTTTTGGGAAAAGGAAATTCTAAAATACTTTCATTATAATATGAAAATAAATCCATCGGAATTAAGTCTTAAAATTCAGATTTCCTAAATTAAAATAATATACAGAATATTTTTTTTTCTAAAATAAAATTTCAAATCTCAAATAAAATTTTAGAATTACAGACATATTTAGAACTAAGGACGTGTTAACTGCATATAATTTTGAGGAATAAATTGGCAGCACGAGTAGATGAGCTTTCGATTATCCATGCCGGACGAGACCGGAGCACTTCAGATAATCAAATTTCCCGCTTAATAGTGATTTTTAATAAATAAGAGCAAAATAAACAGCTATTATTTTCGGAAAATTGAGGTTGCCAGTCAAAAGCTATTTATATTACTGAGGCCAAAAAAAAAAATAAATAACAAAATCTTTACTCTAAGAGTACTTAGGGGTTAGTTAATTTTGGAAATGACCTAAATGGAAGAATTGTACTATATGGTACTAAATATGGGTTTGGGTTAACTGGTAATGTTTGAAATATGAAATTGGGCATTATTAGTGTTTAAGGTTGAAATTTGGAGGTGAATTTGGAAAAACCAGCTAAAAAAGTCGAAGAGAAGTATGTGATTCTAAATTTGTATTTGTGGAGGTAATGGAGCTGGAAACCCGAAATTTGGTATTAGGATCACTTTTTGTGTGGTGGGGTTGACATATGGAGGTGGATTTAAAAATACATACTAAATAAGTAAAAAAACATTAACTTCGGCCATGCCGAACTTTTAATACCGTCCACTATTGAGTAAAGATAACATTTTTATATAGAAGTATCTTAATTCAACCGTTTTCCACTTTAAACTAAAAATACCAGTGAGGCCGTTTGGATAAATTGGTTCAACTTTTCACAAAAAAAAAATGATTGAGTCCGTTATATGGGGGCCATACTAAGAAGGATACCCATTTAGACAATTTTATAATACAAGGATTGTTACTTATTGCAAGACTTAAAAAAAATCAGTAGGTAAATATGACAAGGATTATCAAAATACCGAATATCAGTGGGTATCATTATATATTGGAAAACATGGACCTAGATATTCAATGTTCCGCCACTGGAGCGAAAACCCAGTAAAAGCTACAAATACCAATTTTTAGACGAATCCATTGGAAAATATGGCAAAAATCATCAAAATACCAAAAATCGGGAGGTACCGTTATATGGGGGCTATAAAAAAATATAGATCTATACACAAATATAGATCTATACATACATTATGACCTACATATACCAATTTTTAGACAAATCCGTGGAAAAATGTGGCGAAAATTATCGAAATACCTAATATCGGGAGGTATCGTTATATGTAGGCAATACGAAAACGTGGACTTATACATACATTATTCCGCCAGTGAAATTAAAATCTATTATGATCTACAAATACTAATTTTTGGACCGATCCGTGAAAAAATGTGGCGAAAATCATCAGTACCGAATATCGGGAGGTACTGTTATATGGCGGCTATACCAAAGCGTTGACCGATATATCTCATTTTCAATACCAACCATTCTAAACAGAAATTGTTCTGTCAAATTTTGAAGCTCTACGTGAAATAATGTGGGCTGTATCGTGATTTTAACAGGCGGACATTGTTAAACCGACTTAGAATTTTATGGTGATCAGATATATATATATATATATATATATATATATATATATATATATATATATATATATATATATATATATATATATATATATATATATATATATATATATATATATATATATATATATATATATATTTCATGGGGTCTACGACGAATATTTAAGGATGTTACAAACGGTAAACAAACAAACGCTGGCTACTGTGCTTATAAGGTTTAATTTCGTTTATAGAGCACAGAAGATGTGGCATACATTTAGGCGCAATGTATTATTAAAACTTAACGAAACTTTATTCGGAATAACAAAATGTCCACAAATTAAATTCATATATCAGTTTGTTAGGTAATGCACAGTGTTGTATTTCATCATATGGTGTTCGCCCGGCATTTTGATTATTTGATCGAATTTTACAAGCGAAAAAAATTCCTTTGTTTCAAGTTTTGAGGAATTAAAAAAATAGCATACCGTTTTTGGAAAGACAGAAGACTTGGAAAATAAATTCATTAATGAAAATTCAAATTAACTCAATTTTCTAGGACTTACAAAGTTGAGTTAATTTGAATTTTCATTCGGCTACTAGTACAAAATGTGTCACTTAGTAATGCGAAGGGAACCAATTGACACTTTTTGTCCCCAAGTTAAGGAAAGGCGCATAAATAAAAAAGACACCACCAACACTGGATACTTGGGACTAGGTAGGGGTCACTGGTGTATAACTGTAAATCTGGAAATATTGTACCATCCATAGTACCACCTACAGGTAATGCAAAGGCGGTCAATTGATTACCTCGTAGAACGTGCCCATTTAAAAGTTTACAGTTGTTTGCACTGTGAGGGGCCTTAATGGGAACTAGTTACTGTAACCCTGAGAATCGATAGACAAGTGAAAACAACAAAAAAACGGAGCAGAATTTGTAATTGACGACGCCACATATTCTAATTCATGTGAAAATGTAACTTCCAAAAACACCATTTTATTAACTATATTCTGATGATATATATATATATATATATATATATATATATTCCGCAACATAATAGACTACCAAAAAAGATAATACACATGTTTTCCAGTTGTTCCTATCTAATCAACTTTGGCTGTTATTGACCCCAAAAGTTTTGGGTCATGATATCCAAAGGAAACATTTTGTGAGGCTCAAACCTTGCAAATTGTTTAGAATTTGGATTCTCTCTCCTTCTATCTCTCTCTTACTCTCTCTGAGCCAAAGGTATAGCAACGTTTTAGGGTATGCTTGTGTTTCTAAAACTCTTCTAATTCAACAATTCTACAAAGGCTTTTCAATAATAAGACAACCAGTGTCAAAATATTGTATGGCAAGAAATACTTAATTCCATTTCACTAAAATAGGCTTCTAGGCGATTCAGTCTTAATTTTACAATCATCTATTTATTGTGTTTTATAAATTGAGCAAAAACATTTTCTCGCAGTAGTTGATTTTATCGATTCATCAATAATTGTTATACCCTCCACCATTCTATGGAGGGTATATTAACTTCATTCCATTTGTAACTTGGCGAAATATTTATAATATACCCTATTCTGGATCGCCGTAAAATTCTAAGACGATCTAGCGATGTCCGTCTGTCTGTCTGTTGTAAACTCGTTATCTTTCGAAGTAATTGAGATAGGAGGCTAAAATTATGCATACAAGTAGGCAGGTTAAGTTCGTAAATGGGCCATGTCGGTTCGTAATGGGTACTACAGCTTATGACAAAAATTCGTTTATACGTTAAAGTTTTCGTACATCCCCCATATAAAGGTACATCCCGATATTCGGTATTTTGATGATTTCAGCGACATTCTTTACCGGAATTATCTCAAATTTCGTATTTGAAGTTCGTAATGGGTACTACAGCCTATGACAAAAAGCAGGTTCACGTCTTCGTATAGTCTCCATATAACAGTTTTCATTCAAGTGGTAGTTTCCGGAAGTTTTTGAAATTTTTCAAGTTCCTTCGCCCCAGCCGAACATAGCTGCTTTTTTCAATTGTTAACTATTGAGAAAATTTCAACATTTTTTGGTGACAAAAGAAAAGCTTCAGAATAACAACAAATAAAATATTTAGATTTTTAAGCTACAAATTTTTACAAATTTAGACAATTGAGAGTTTGGACTTATAATTATTCAAAAAGTTGACCCTGAGTGGAAAAGGTGGCAAAAAGAGTAGATCGATCTTCGAAGATTACATTTGTATAGGAAAAACAAAACGGCTTGTAAGGTTTGATTCAAATTATGGTGTAGTGGTGGAATATTGCCTATCTTTGAACTCGATGTAGATATAATAAAATAATGGAAAGTTTACTCTCATAAGACAGCCATCCAATCAGACAGAGGGACATGTCTGGATCGACGTAACATATTCTAAATCGGATTTTGTTCACAGAGACCTAACAGCACTTGGTCCTTATGTAACGGCTAATGTACCTTGCGTAGCACAAAGTTTGTTCCCCAAAAAATGTTTTCTCCTAAAAAAGCAGCAACTATAAATTTGTCATTTTTGAAATTCATGCTTAACCGTCTCCGCCTTCTGACAACCACAATGAGCTGGAGTTTTTTTTTTATGATTCAACATTTTCGATTTTATATCCCATGGTGTGAATAGAGAGCTCAAAAACAACCAATTTTGATTGACACCTTTGAACCATGTCTGTTCGCACAATGTTCACTTGCCTCTTGCTAATGCATTACACGTTCGCCTAATCTTATCGACACTACTACCGGTCGATTGGTGGCAGAGGGCACAGAGTTGTTGACAATGCAATGACTGGGATGGGACTGTGGAATGTGTGCGCCATGTGGGAACAACTGTTGGTATTGTCGCCAAAGACTGAATAGTTGTCCCTAAAGAAATCGAAAATACAAAAAAATGTGGTAACTGCGAACTGTGCCTCATTTCCTCTTGTTCGTTAGAGCCCCAATACCAAATCCCAGGGAATCAACAAATGAATTAAAGTGAAATATTGCATTTGTGTTGGTGCTCACCACACTGGCAGTGCCATTGCCACTGCCACTGCTTGGTGCTGCTACTGCCGGATGGATGGATGGATCGATGATTTGCTGTAATTGACCAACGAACATGATATAACTTGTTTTCTCTTCCACACATTTGGCTCAGTTGCTAAGAAACGTCTTCAGTGTCAAGGTCTCAAGTTCATCATCGACGGGATGAACAAGAACTGAAGAACAAATCAAAGAGAAAAAGCAAAGCAACAACAACAACAACAAAACACGACAAAGAACAACATTGCCACCAAAACAAAAAAGGCAACAACGCTGTATAGGTGTGTTGCTCAGGTGTACGTACGGCAAATGAGTGAATTGGTAGGGAGTACTTGTGCGAGTTGCCAAGATAGTGCCAGCCAAGCTA